GAGGAGGTCATGGATTTGGGGCAAGGTGATTATCAACTGTCTGGCACAGATAAAAATTTTAGCTGATATAGCGATGGTGCCACCCATTCTCATGGCGGGGATAAAGTCAACAGGTTATAAATCCAAAAGGAGTGACCGCATTCTGACTGGAGCAACCTTAGAAATGGAAATACTCAGCCAATGTGGAGAGAGCACAATGAAAGACTTCAAGCCATCTCCCATGAATCATGGAAAGGGAAGTGTTGCAGGACAACTAACACCAGTGGAATATAACTGACTAAGAGTGTCGGAGACTGTGTCGATAGATGAACCCACCGGTGGATACATGGAGATGTTAGAATACCGAAACTCGGCTAGAGGGTATGTAATGGCCCTGGAAGACGAAAAAGCCATGGAGGGTTATCTGGAAACGATGTAGCAAGGCACCAACCTCAAGCAGAAGGCGTACGGGACTTTAGCGTCGTCTGACATACAAGCAGAAACGATAGAGCAGTTGGTGAGCCTTCCATGGAAAGCAGTAGTATTGAGGTATTTCGAAGAAGAAATGAGGACTACGCCGAAAATACATGCTCTCGTGGCAGTGCCTTACGTAAGAACAGAGTTACAACACAGGTTCGCCTGGTGCATGATGGGACTGACTCGCGAAGAATATGATTCAGAAGAAAGGAAGAGATCAAAAGAGGAGAAGGTTTTCCTTATGACGAACCTGAGGGATCTGATAGTCCAGGAGGGAGCAGCAGTAGCGTGTGCGAAGCGGAGAGACGCTCTCTGTTTCATTCGATTCCTGATAGAGCAGATTTCAGTACCTGCACTAAACACCTGTGTTAAAATGTTGAGGGAATGCGATGAGCGAGCAAAAGCCTTATTCTTACTAGCACTGCTGGATATGCAGCAAAGTAAACCAATGAGGGTGAACATGAAAGAACCCGAAGAATTAGAACCCATGAAAAAGATAGACGAAATCAGGAGATTCTCAAACAAGGAGCTGAGACTCACTAAAGAATCTATGGGAGCATTGCCGAGATCCAGTGAATACTGTGGACCGATCAAGAAGAAATCGTATAGCTACGTATCCGGGATCATAGGGATAGCGTACAATCCTTTCCTGATGGAAGACATACGCGATTGCTTCTTCGATTATGAGCAGGCGGTGTTGCTAAGATTCTGGACGTCCAGAATTGTAACGATTATGAGCATTAACAATCCACAGGTCAAATTGGGACTGGTCTTGGAAGAAGAGGTGACTGCACCTTCAGTACCAAAATCCGACAGAAGAGTGGAGTTTGGGTTGGGATTCTCAGATGAATTACTGAGAACGAGCTTGATGACAGTGTGGGAAATGATGAGGCCATCATGGTGTCCTAGTCCCAACGCTGACTCGATATTACGGGCGACACAAGACGTACAGAGGGAACTGAATGCAGACTGTAACCTGCGTGACCTCAACATCATATATAATGTGATGATAACGGCCTCTAAGAGCAGCGGAGAAGATAAAGTGGAGTTGCCTGGCTGGGGACCAGAAGACTGGGTCAAATCTGGTAGCTGTCTGGCGGAAGTCTGTGGACTGGAGGGTCACGTTTGTGGAGGTATGGACTGTGTGAAGACCCTGGAAAAACAACACAAGCAATTGACGGTATTGTTTGGAAACGTAGTGATGAAAGCAAGAACAGAAACGGAACTGATAGCAGATTGCCATGGAGGAACCGATGTGAATCTAGTGACTGCACTAGGATTCTACAACATGTTTGGTTCTTTAGAGTCACTATTGAATCTAGAACAGAAACATGAGATGGTCACAGCCATCAGTGTAGAAGTATTCCCAGGAGATACATAGGAAATACATAGGAAAATGGAGGGAAGCAATCGAGACGGAAATGAACATTAGACACAGTGAGACTTATTGTAGACCATCAGGAGCACGATATTTGGTGGGTTCAACATTGGCTCCAATGTGCAAGAGCAGATACCCTGTACATTTCGTAGCTGTGGACGTGAAGAGTACAAGAACGATTGTGGATCAAGCCTTCTCAGTGCCGAAGTGTGTGAGACTGGCGAGAATGTCCGAGAAGTCATACGAGTTGCTATGTAAGATGTTCTCAGCAGTTCCAGAGAGAACCAAAGAAGAATTGGAGTCAATATTAGGAAAGAAGTTCATGGGATATGTGAGCGGGAACTTCAGTGACTTCGAGAGACAGAAACAGAGAGGATCAACTGTCACAGATTACAATACAGTAGATGAGAATGATGAAGTCCACCGAGTGATGATGAAAATGGAACCATTGCTGGAAGCTTCGGGAAAACGTAATTGGAGGAGCATCATGTTGACGCATGACGAGTTTCCTTGCCACTGCTTGCTGCAGACCTGGTGGTATCCCAAGCGTAGTAATCTGATGTTGATCTGGGACTCTGGAGAGCTGCTCTCCATGGGTTTACAAGATTCATCACAGCCCATAACAATAGTGATAGTGGGAGTTATGATGGCGATACGATGGCTGGAAGCTCATGTGAGATAAAATAACAGACAGGAGGCACCGACGAGAGAACAGTTGCGGAGATTAGATTGTCTGAAAGATTTAGATCTTTTTGAGACAATGTGCAAAGTTCTAAACATTCCGATGGAAGTGAAGAAGATATGGGCGAGGAAACGATTGATGCCATGGTTCAGAGCTAACGTGACTGCATGGTTGTATGAATATGCGAAAAAGCATATGTCGAAGCATGGCAGAGTGTACAGTGAATATCAGCTGGACATTGGAGCAGGAGCTTTTAAGTGCAGTGACCACCGCTGTGAAAAGAATTTCCAGGACGAGTGAACGTAGTGGAAAGGAGAAGGCAGAGATGTTAAAGGAGGATTTGGAGAGAAACGTGACGTTGTGTCTCCACAACAGCTTCTGCAGGAACAGAGAATCTAACGTGGATACCCTACCTTGCTGCAAACAGAGGGTAGAAGAGCATAAGTGTTGGAGGACGGCTTCCAGCAGCGTCAGGATAGCTAACGACGTGTTACAAGATACGGAAACTGAGAGTGCAGAGTCAGTATCACAGGAGGAAGAAATGGAGCATTGACGGATGACTGAAAAGCAAGATGAAAAAAGAGATGAAATTAGAAGAATTTAGAAGCTTTAGAACTTCTAAACGACGAAAGAAGAAGAAAACAAAGGAGTGATGAAGAAAAAATTAAAACTCAGAATTGTTTTATGTGTGTGAAAAAACTCAAGTGAGAAACCAAGCAACCAACTTGTAATTGAAAACTAAAACATTTAGTTGAGTTTTGAAATTGTTGCATTTATAAATTTGCATTTTGATTTTAGTCGAGTGGCTTTAGAGACACTCACTTACTATTTATTTAGAAAGGCTTAGGTGAAGGAGTATATTTAAATATTCCAGCCTACATGACTGTTTTTAATCAGCTAGGAGAACTGATCACTTTGTGGTGACATGAAAGGCTTGGGTAATCTCTCGAAGAGGGAGATTGTTTCATTGTTCTTTCTAACCACAGAGTTTCTTAGTTTTATTATTCAGGACAATAACAAGCAAGGTTTCCGAAGGGAAGAAGCATAGTAGGATAATTTTAGCTTGTTGGTTGGCAGGACTGTCCTGCAGACCAACACCTTTTAAATCTAAGAGAAAAAGTTTTAATTGGGACATTGACGTTGGAAGTCAGAAAATATGTTTTATCTTAAGTCATATCCTCAATGTGCAGATTAATGAAAGAATTTGAAGGCTATAGTGATGTATTATGATGCCATTTATATTCTGCAGTGAGTCGATGTGACGTGGATAAAAGTAATTTCGTGCATTTTGTAAATTCTGTTCGATGACACTGTATCTATTTTACGAACAATGCGTGATTCAATGAGGACATTGACCGGACTGTCCGGGGAGTATGTGACATTCGACCAGAATGTGAAAAATGCAATCTCTGCGGAATTCGAAATTTTAGCAGCGAGCCTTCCGAATTAGTGATTTTAAAGGATTAACGACGTTATTTGAACGATGGGACAAAACGTGAAGGTTGAAGGATTCGGGAATTGCTAATTTTTAAATTTCGAAATGATTACGTAACATTTCTGAGAAACGTCAGAAACGGCCATTTTGGCAAAAAGGTCGAAGAAAAACAGAACAACATTAGCTGCGATCACGAGAAGTACGGAAATTGTGAGAAAAAACGACAACAAATCACGGAGTTAACAGAGAGCACTCCGAGTTGCAACTATTGTGTCGCTACAATAGTTGCAAGGCCGTTGCAGATAACGGTGAAGGGTGGAAGAAAGCCTTCCGGATTACAAAGAAGTCAAGTCTAACGTGCTTGATACAGTGGATTCAAGAATCCGGAAGGGTTTCGGAACTGAAACTTTTATCCCTTTATATAGACTTTTACCTTCTTGTCATGTCCTGATTTGAATTTAAATAACAACTGGATTCATTTTGATAGGGATGAGAAGCTAGGAGTTGGGGGAAAGGGTTGATCCATCTTCGATGCAGATGATGATTTTTATCTACTGAACAAAAACAATAGTAATATAATAAACAGTAGTAGCCCTGTTTTTAGGAGTGACCTCGTGGTCTGGGGATACTGAGACCTAGCCATGAGCTCACTATTTCTGCATGTAATTAAGTTAATTTGAGTGTTTTGACCGAAGCCGAAAGCAGTAACGTTTTTGTCGACCCCATGTTAGAAAGACCACCGAAAGTACTGGCTTGGAAGAGACGGTTAAAAGTATGTAAAGCTCTGTTTAGACGTTGGCCAGTCGTCTTAGGACTTAGTTTTATTTTCCGTCGATATGTATCTTCCGGGCGAATGTTACATAGCCGAAACCGAACTGCTGTAAAAATGAAATTTTGAGCATTAAAGTTGAGTTTCACAAACTATTTGTACTGCTGCTGGATGTAATGCGTAAATTTCAAAAACTAGTCAAACCCTTTAGTGGTTTCTTCTGAAATAAGGTATTTTTCTTATGCAGGGAAGAACCTACTTTACTTCTTTAAAAATGAACACTTATTAAATAGTTTCATGTTAAATGGCATCGGTCTTGTGTGGAGTATCTCCAATGGCAGATTTTTAGAGACAAGACCCTGTATGTTATGAAAGAGCACATCTTCAAAACATCCAAGACGAAACACTTATAGATTGCTGACTAACGGGCGAAGAGACTAGTGTTCCCGAACTTCAACATTCTGTCAATTCCTGGTGGTAGGATCTTTCACGTACAGAATCATTTACCAACGAAAGGTCAGTACGAAATAATATGTTTATTTATTGGCGGAAACGACACTTTCAACGGTACCCAACACTCCGCACGCCATCCTGAAGACATTGGAAAAGAGTTAGCAAAACTTGCTAAGCAACTATCCCATCTCTACGAGAGGGTATACGTGTTAGGCATCCCCCCACGAGTTGATAAATTGACCAACGACATAACAGATCGCTCGTCATCTCGAGGTAGACAAAATTATTCAGCGCGAGGCCACAGGAGATACTTGGGTCTATAGAATAATTAAACGGAAAATATACTGTGAAGCCGATATCGCAAACGACGACGTTCACATAACCGAAAAATCCCTCAGAAGTCTTCGAACAATCCTGAAAAACAACGTTTTGCGATCAAAGTGGTCTTTGGAAACATCCCGAGACAGGCACCCAGAAGTCTTTTTAAGTGAATTTATAGCTCTCGGAATCCCAATACGGGTTCCACTGTTAAAGACTTGCTACTTTTTCGATCTTTAAGTCATCTCAAGCTCTCGAAACTCCTAACGGGCTCCACAGCGAGAGGTGACTTCTCATCTAAATAGCGCTACTAGCTGCGTGCCAGTCGGTAATATCTGGAAGTTTGACCTTGAGGAATACGAAATACGTGGTTTTGGAATGAAGTTTATTTTTTCAAAAATTCGAGTGGAGCCTGTCATGCTCAGTTTTCTCGCGACAACTGAAAACATCAAATATAAAATCAGAACAACCGAATTACAATAGCGGGAAAGTTGCCAATTAAAGACAGTGGAAAATTGCTACTCGCAATTTCCGTCGTAGAAAACGAGAGTAGAGCTGTCCTATCTGATATAGGAGACAGAGAAGTCACAAGACCAAATCAAGATTCGACTGAACTAGAGTGAACCTTCAATGGAAAGGTAGACAACTGAAGTATCCCAATGGTTCAGACCCAAAACTGCAATCTCAAGCTAAAACTTATTTCATTCGATTGGAACTCATTGTTAGAAAACTTCTCGAGTTATATTCAATTATATTCATAGAATTATTAATTAGCTTAATTACTCTGTTTCTCAAGTGTGCTGCTATGTAAGTACCAAATTTAATTTTCCCGAGTGCACTTTGTGATAAGTATGTTGAGGTAAGGCCACTTTTAGTTTGATCCATATGAAATGGATCAAAGTTCCACTGTCCAATAAAAAGTAACTCAACGGATTGTTCCGACCCTGTTTTTAACGACCTTCGCGTATTTTGGGTATTTTGAGACCTAAGTATGGGGACGTTCTTATTTTCTAGAGTGGGGGGGAGTATTTTGGTAGTGGCATTTAAGCTGTAACGGGTTCTAGTCTCATGTCGCAAGTGAACCGAATTGGCTCCGACCGTTTTTGAGGTAGAAAAACACAAGAGATAGTGTTTCTGACTCTTGAGCCAATGGTTATAGGGCCTATTTTTCTTAAGCCTCATATGTGACCGAAGTAGGCGACTGTTACATAGTGTTTTTATGGCGCTCCTGGGTGTTTTACGACATCATGACTACGGAGTCGAACCCACTTGACACAGCTCCGGGCTACATGCCCATTCTAGACGGGCACGTAGACGGTTCAGCGGGAACGTGTAAATCTTCCGGTTGTACCTTGATAGCTTTTCAAGAAAACTTGAGAAAACTTTTCAAGAAAACTTCTAGACGGTTCAGCGGGAACGTGTAAATCTTCCGGTTGTACCTTGATAGCTTTTCAAGAAAACTTGAGAAAACTTCCTGGTACGCTCTCCGAACGAAGCTTAGCTAACCGAGTAAGGGGGGGTAACTAGGGAGACAAAAACACGAGCAAAAAGACAAAAAGCGAAACAAAAACAAGAAAAAAGAATAGAAAAAGGAACAAAAATCATAAAACAAAAAAGACAGTGACTTTGACACCAGATTAGTTGGATCAAACCTTTATATTAATTAAAAAGTATACCCATACTGTTTTACAAGACCGATCGTTTCGATCAACCTAGCAATCTAATCCAGCAACCTCAATAAGGTGCCCAAAGGGGGGGGGGCGTTGTTAAGGATTTTCAGATAGCTTGCTACTTGAGTGGACAACTAGGAGACTTGACTGGAAGAGGTGACCAGCCGAGTGGGAAAGTGGTTCACAAGGATTGAGCCGAACAACTAGGAGACTTGACTGGAAGAGGTGACCAGCCGAGTGGGAAAGTGGTTCACAAGGATTGAGCTGAACCGCTAGGAGACTTGACTGGAAGAGGTGACCAGCCAAGTGGGAAGGTGGTGCTGGTGTCAAGTGCAGTGCACGTCAAGGGGACAACCAGCACGGGACCGCTACAACAAGAGGAGGACGCACAGGGGTGTTCTCAAGTTGGACAAACGGGTATCGTTAAAATCCACCTGACTTCAAAGGAAATATGTGTAAAATTGGATAAGCGGAGCCCCATTGTTTTGAGGAAGTTTTCACTCAAGCAGGCCTGGAAACAGGTCTACGGTTTTTTCTCGAGAGGTTTGGCACCCGGCGCTTAAGGGAATTTTCGGCTTAAGAGGGGGGCTGAAGAGGGGGGAGGTTAGAAGGGGGGCTGGTTAGGTTAAAGGTTGGTGGTTGTAAAGTGTAAAAAGGGGGTTACATTAGAGTAACTAATCGATCGGCATCGTCGATTTAGTTACATTAGATTCTTACACGAGTCGGTTATAAGAAGCGGATATCCAAATTTAACATCGAATTAAGGTAGGTTCAATGGCCGGATCGGTAGGGGGGAACGGACATAGACAGTTTTTGTGATACCCCATAAGGGGGAGGAAAACGCGTGGCAATTGGGTACCAGACGTTTTTTCGGACAAAGGTTGACATCTGTCAGCTTTGAATTTTAGGTGGGTTCATCTCTCTGTTTTTATAATTTAGTGAATTTGGTGAAAGTTTGTTGTTGGTATTTGAACGAACAGGTGATCACAAGATACCTGCGAAGAAGTTGGGGTTTCAAATAGCCTGAAACAACGAGAGGGAGATAAATACAGGGGGGTCAGTATTTGGATTTTGGCCATTAAGATGGGGATTTTGGGAAAATTTTTACTAGAGCTCAAGTGGTGGTACACGGTACAGTGGTTCTAAAAAGTGCCCACAACGAAGAAGAAGAGATCCTACTATCCAGACACTTAGTGACAAGCCTTGGGACAGTACCGAAGAAGTCTTGGGATATTGCAGTCTGGGGACGGTCTTGGAGCAGTGCAGTCTTGGGACAGTCTTGGGACGGTGCACTCTTGGGACAGTCTTGGGCCAGAGCAGTCTTGGTACGGTCTTGGGAAAATACAACCTTGGGACACTGGTCCTGGGACAGTGGTCTTGGGACAGTAGTCTTGGGACAGTGGTCTTGGGACAGTGGTCTTGGGACAGTGGTCTTGGGACAGTGGTCTTGGGACACTAGTCTTGGGACAATAGTCTTGGGACATTAGTCTTGGGACAGTAGTCTTGGGACAGTAGTCTTGGGACACTAGTCTTGGGACAGTAGTCTTGGGACACTAGTCGTGGGACAATAGTCTTGGGACACTAGTCTTGGGACAGTATTCTTGGGACAGTAGTCTTGGGACAGTAGTCTTGGGACAGTAGTCTTGGGACAGTAGTCTTGGGACAGTAGTCTTGGGACAGTAGTCTTGGGACAGTAGTCTTGGGACAGTAGTCTTGGGACAGTAATCTTGGGACACTAGTCTTGGGACAGTAATCTTGGGACAGTAGTCTTGGAACAGTAGTCTTGGGACAGCAGTCTTGGGACACTAGTCTTGGGACAGTAGTCTTGGGACAGTAGTCTTGGGACAGTAGTCTTGGGACAGCAGTCTTGGGACAGTAGCCTTGGGACACTGGTCCTGGGACAGTGGTCTTGGGACAGTAGTCTTGGGACAGTGGTCTTGGGACAGTGGTCTTGGGACAGTGGTCTTGGGACACTTGTCTTAGGACAATAGTCTTGGGACACTAGTCTTGGGACAGTAGTCTTGGGACAGTAGTCTTGGGACACTAGTCTTGGGACAGTAGTCTTGGGACAGTAGTCTTGGGACAGTAGTCTTGGGACAGTAGTCTTGGGACAGTAGTCTTGGGACAGTAATCTTGGGACAGTAGTCTTGGGACAGTAGTCTTGGGACAGCAGTCTTGGGACACTAGTCTTGGGACACTAGTCTTGGGACAGTAATCTTGGGACAGTAGTCTTGGGACAGTAGTCTTGGGACACTAGTCTTGGGACACTAGTCTTGGGACAGTAGTCTTGGGACACTAGTCTTGGGACAGTAGTCTTGGGACAGTAGTCTTGGGACACTAGTCTTGGGACAGTACTCTTGGGACAGTAGTCTTGGGAGAGTAGTCTTGGGACACTAGTCTTGGGACACTAGTCTTGGCACAGTAGTCTTGGGACACTAGTCTTGGGACAGTAGTCTTGGGACAGCAGTCTTGGGACAGTAGTCTTGGGACACTAGTCTTGGGACAGTAGTCTTGGGACAGTAGTATTAGGGCAAGGGTCTTGGGACAGTGGTCTTGGGACTTTAACAAGAAGTACTGGGACAGCGCCGAATAGTATTGGGACAGTAGTGACGAAGAAGTGACCCTGCAGAGTCCACTAACAGAAGAAACTTTAGCATCGCCTCAAACTTCATTGATGGGGTAAAGAGTGATGACTTGAGAACAATGTTAGCAACATACTATACATTGTTGAAAGATAGTGCACCGACTCCAGAAGAGATGAGACAGAAGTCGAGAGAAACCCAAGAAATACTCATATTCATACTCTGAAAATGGTGACAGGAAAGCCATTTGGCATAACAAAAATCGGAGCC